AGTGCTGTGTGCAGAGCATTCTTCTTGTTTCTCTCCTTAAGCCCCAGAATAGAGATGGGATTATTGAAGAGCAGCTACGGCACTTTCATTAAGTCCTGTGTGCGGGGCTTCCTGGGGGGGGAGGGGCGAGGAGAGGACGACGGACAGGCTGGCAGGCGCCCATGGGCCCACCCTTGCCCAGTGGATTGACAGAATGAGGCCGTGGTCTGTCAAGGGCCGAATCCCAATATCCAAGTGGCAGTCTCGGGCACGAGACACACATCTGGCTACAACGGGAATGCTTCAAAGGCTGCTTTCTCCAGTGACATCCATCAGCCCAAATGAAGTCTCCCAAAAATACTCCTCGGCTTATCTTTACTCGTAGAAGGCAGGTGGGGAAAGCCTGTTTGCAGAGGCGGGCTTCCACTGCACCTTCCTGCTGGCACCAGCAGAAATAGAGGAGGCCCGGCCCTCACTCTGCTGCGCCGGGAGCCCATGCTTGTTCTGAATGACGGCAATGAATACTCCAACACGGCCCTCTCCTTAAAGGGTCTCGCTCGAAGCAGCCATAGAGGAAAGACGGGAAGAGAAGGGCCTTTGGGGTCTGCCGGCTCAGTGGCCTTGGCCGGAAGTGTGATGCGAGAGTCATGCTAACACCTGGGCGCTTCTGGCAAAGTCCCAGGTAGGTTTCTGCTGAAAATGTTTGCAAACACTGGCTCTGAGGGGAAGTCCAGTCTCTGGCCTGGTGGTACAGGCCCTCCTTCATGGAGACCCTGTGACTGACTTACCCTCACACCACATCCAATCCGCCATCGGACAATTAATGCATCAGGACTGCCTTCAGACTTGGCCAGGATCTGGTCGCCCCTCACCACTTCCCGACAGCCACCCTGATCTCACCTGAACTAACACAGTAGTCCCTGCTTTTCACAGGTGTCTCCCACCACCTGGTCTCAGCCCAATGGCCAATGCCATCGTGTGGTTTCAGGATGCCCCATTAACTTCCTGTCTCCCCCAGAACAAGGTTTCCAAATCGGTGGCCTGCTCTCCTAGAATGACTCTGATCCCATCAGCCTCCAGACAGATGCCCTTAGCAAAGGACAAGGCCTCCCCAAGGCTGTCAGAGGACCCCACACACATGCACACTCAGGTGGTCAGGGGGTGGCACTGCACAAGAACCAGGGCTGCCGTTTCTCAGGAACTAATTGTGCAGTTGGGACCATTTCACCGCCCTTCAGTCCCATCATGAGTCCTTTGAAAATGACTGATTCTATTTGCTCTCTGGTTGAGTGTCTTAGCCCAAAGTCAAGATTCTCTCCATTGGGGGGTGGCAAGTCCTTTGCCACTGGGCCATCCTCTGCAAATGGGCTCTCCGAGAGGAACGCCGACAGGCGGCACTCTCCGCTGTGGGCAGCAGGGGGAGGAGGGCCAGCTCTCAAAGGGGAGTCGCTGGAGCACACTGAGGGACAGCCCGAGAGCAGCTTGAGGAAATTCTCCTCTGGGGTGATTATCGGGGCCCCAACAGCGGCAGGGGGCTGGTTCCCCTGTTCCGGGCAGCTGGAGACTCTGCATTGCTGACAATTCCCCAGCGACGAAGGGACTCGGGAGGAGTGTGCAACCCTGAATGGAATGGCTGCACGACACACCGCCTGATACAATGATGTCGTTGCAAGCCAAAGAAGTACAAAGTTCCGTGTGTTCTTATGACAACTAATAGCAACACTCCTCCTGGACAGAGGGGAGGGAAGAGGAGGCCGCGAGGCTGCTGGGTAAATTCCCACCATGCGCCTGTTCCCGGTCGCATGCCAGCATATGCTCATTAGTCACCAGGAAGGGGAAGGCCAGGCTCTGCCTGAGAATGTGCCAGGACTGTCTCTCGCCAGGGGGGGCGTTGCCTCTCTGGCCGGAGTCCTGACCCCAGACCAAAACTGGGGCCCTCTGAGTGAACTCCTTCCTCCCGCTCTCCTCCTCTCCCACCCCCTGGAAGCCCCGGAGAGATGAAGGAGCTGAGGGAATGTTGACAGAGGGCAGGCCACCCTGTCCTGGGCCACAAGGATCTCTCAGCAAATTCAAGCTGGCTACCCTCCCTGAAAAGAGCCCTGGTGGTGTCGTGGCCAGGAGCTGGGCTGCGAGCCGAGCCGCATGGTCAGTAGCTCCTTGGGAGAGAGACTGGGCTTTCTACTCCCGCAATCGGCTACAGTCTGACTCGATGGCAGTGAGTTAGAAGGGGCCAGTGTGGGGGTCTGAGACTCCTGGGCTCTCCGGCAGGCCCGGCGGATGCAGTTTAGGGGCGCTGTGGTGTGGAGTTTTAGACCTTCCCTCTTGTCAACCCTCACCACTCCGAAGTTCCCTCCGCCGAGGCCCGATGTAGACAGCCCTCCTCCCAGCTCCTGGCCTCCTGTTTCTGCTTCCAGCCTGCTCTCTTTGAGGCACACTGAGCTCATGTTGAGACCCAGGGTCTACTCCTGCTCCGTCATGTTCTTGTGACTCAGTTGTCACTCCTGCCACTGTAAAATGACAATGACGCTGCTGTCCAAGGACTCTAGACCATGACAGTATGGCAGCGCTGCTAGTTACCAAGATCCAGGGGCTCCAAGCCTCCCCCCACCCCGACACAACTTGAACAGGGAAGGGCCCCTTTATCTGTCTGGAAGACGGACTCTCCCATAAGATTTTACTTGATTTTACAAAACATGAAAAAAAATGAGAAGAATCTATAAAGTTTCTATCGGTATAAAAAAGTAGTGAGAAGTCACCAGACAAAAATGTGATGAGGTTGTTACAGGTATCTGGCTCCACCGCATTGCCCCAACATCTGGGGTGCCCCCTGCTGCCGCCGCCCTGCGCATTGCACCAGCATTAAGGGCTCTTTGGTGGCCAGTGGGCCTTCTCTGCAGTCTAGTCACCCTGGGCTGAGCCCCTCCTCCTGCCCTGCCTCCTATATCGAGAGCGCTGGTGGTGTGGTGTTACACATTAGGTCCCTACCTGAAAGGTCTGTAGTTCAAAACCAGGCTCAGAGGAAGAAAGATGAGGCTTTCTGCTCCCATAAAAAATTACCAACTCAGAAGCCCACAGGGGCTGTTCTACTGAGTCCTATAGGGTTGTTATCAGTAGGCATTGACGTGATGGTAGTGTGTGTGTGTGTGTGTGTGTGTGTGTGTGTGTGTGTTCCCCAGAAGGATTTTGTTGTATAAGGAGGCTTCAAAAGTTGGTGGAAAAAATTCCATTACCTTTGAATTCCATTTTTCCATGAAGTTGTTGAAGCCCCCTTGTATTTTCTTCTGTACCTTGTAGCTCTAATCACAGCCGGCTACCAATTTAAGGTGATGAAGTGAGCGTTTGTTGGGTAGAAAGTGGCAGTGAACGGCTCTCTTCTCCCTGCCTCAGCGTGGTCCGGGACCAGACCGGCAGCATGGGCATCAGCGGGGTGTGAGAAATGCACCCCACCCCAGAATCGGCATTTTAACGAGATGCGGTGATTGGTGTGCACGTGACCTTGAGTCACGTCCTGGAGTTCAGTGCTCCTCCGAGGTGCAAGCCCAGAGCTGTCACAGGCTGGATCAGCCGCCTGAGCCCGAGCGTAAACCACGAGCTGCCTCCTCCATAGAGACAGACTGGCTACACACAGTGTCAGCTGAATTAAACAACGTGACGGATGACTGGGATGGTTTCCATTCTGGTCCAGGCTCCTTATCTTGCCCCGGACCAGGGACATCCCGTGTGTGCACTTGGCACTGGGTCAGACCCCACCGGAAGTAGCACTGTTTAGATCACCAGGTGGAAAGAAGAGGGCTGGGGCTGGGCTAGAGCCGGGGGCTGAGTTCCACACAGAGACAGACATACAGACATGCTCACATTCCCACCACACCATAGGGGAGCCCTGGCCCAGCAGAGGTGGGCAGGAAATGTCTGGGGTTAGAGTGAGGCTGTGTTTTCCACGTCTTTGCTCCAGCAGGCCTCTGTTTGCATTCAGAGCCTGTTAGGCCAAGGCGCTGCCTCTGTCGGGGACAACTAGAGCCAGGGACTTGCAAGCCATCTGGGGTTGGGAAAAACTAAGCAAAAAAACAGCTTCTTTGAGGGACTTGGAAGGAAATTGTAACAAACTTCTTTGCTTAGCTCAAATTCCCAAAGTAAAAAGAACTCTCAACCCCCGGGTCCATGTATAACCCAGTATTTACCAACCCCCAGGCCAGACTTCTGCCTGCAGTGGCAGGCACAGGCAAGTAACACTTCCGGGACAGGGGAAAGCATAGCTCAGCAGCCAGCCTTGGTGTCTCCTTCCACGGGGAACCCAGGGACCCCGATGAGTTTGCATCACATCCCATCTTTACTGGGACACGATGGAGATGCAGAACCTTCCAGGCAGCCCTCCTTGATTAGAAAAAATAACATAACATGGGGGGTCAGAGTCTGAATTTTCAGGCTGCTATTCTCTAGCCCTGTGGCCCTAAGGAAGCAGCTTAACCTGCTCTTGGTGTCCCTTGTTCCCTCGTCCCTAAGGAGGTCCTCACAGGATTGACCTCACAAAAGGTGCTGTGCCAGGCTGGGAGCCTGATTTGAAGGACTTGGCTCAGGAGATTGTGGGAGCTGGGGAACCCCAATCCATAGTGCGACGGGGAGGGGATCTGGGAGCTCGGGCAGGATTTGGCCATGTTACACACCTCGTGGTGGAATTCCTTCCTGCTTCAAAGCCTCCGTGCTCAGCACTTGCATTGGTTCTTGCTCCTAACTCTTCAGCTGGCGGAACCAAGTCCACCCACGTCATAGAGTACTCCGCTTTACCTGAGATCACTGCTTCCAAAGGCAAAGCAACACCTGGACTAGTGTTTGGCCTGGCGACTTAGCCACCACAGCCCAGCAGAAGCTGACCGCTGCCGTTAGCCCTCCTACCATCATCCTTTCCAACTGTGGGGGTGGGGAGGCAGACTCCTGCAGGCAGCCTCTGGGCTGGGGTTGGGGCCTTCCAGGGCAGAGCTGGGGACCTCCTGCTCACCCCCTAATGCCTGTCTGGTCGCCCACAGGGATGTGTCTGCAGGCTTTCGTAGAAGCCTTCTTCTACCTGGCCCAGAGGAAGTTCAAGATGCGGCCGCTCCACGCGCAGGTAGCCTCGCTGATCGACCTGTGTGAATACCACCTGTCTCTGCTGGATGAGAAGCGGCTGATGTACGGTCGGAGCGGCACCACGGGGTACCGGCCCCCGGGCAGCAGCACGCCCCAGGGAGCCACCCCCTTGGAGGGCACCTCTCCACTCGGCCCAAACGATGCCAACAAACTCTCCCAGTCCAAATATCTTCTGTCCTGAGGGCTTCTCTGCCCTTCTCCAAGGAGAGAGCCCGGTCAGGGCCGCTGACGAACCCCTGAGCTGGCAGCGGCGGCGAAATGGCAGGCTGCTGAGAATTCCAGACTGAGGTTCCTGCTGCTCGTTGTCACCGCGTTCTGCGCTCTGCAAGCCTGAGTGACTATCCCCGCCTTCCTCCCGGGGCTCCGCCAGGCTTGCTACTCCTCAGCGGACATAGGACACATCCAGCACGTGGGCAGATGGCATCGTCCCTCCTGGGGTCGCCTGCCCGGGTGAGACAGTTAGGTGTGGGGCACACAGGGGCAGGTCTGGAGGCTCGGGAGCCCACAGGAGGAACCCGGGTGCATTGTGGTGCCTGCCTCCCCTGCAGCCTGGGCAAAACTCGGCAGAACCAACAAGTGGGTGCGCAGTGATCTCCCGTCCCAGCCATGTGCTACTCGGTGTACTTAACAGATTAGCCTCATTTATTTCATTAGTTTGCCTTGTTGCTGCAGTGTTTGGTTTGTTATTAATTAAGAAATAATTAATTAAGAAGTCACTAAGTCAGGCTTTTCGAGTCTCAGCGCTGGCGAGATCCCCAGAGATCAGTTGATGGGGCATTACTGGACTTTGACCCCAAAGTTGGGGTCCTCTGGGCAGCCTCCCTGCCCCTAGGCATGTGGCCAAGGGGCGCCTGTACACCCAGCACTGTGTAAGGCGTGGGGGCATGGTGGTGGTGGAGGGGGGTTGCCAATGAACTCTGGATAACGGTCTAGACCTAAACAGGGTCTCACAGCTGTCAGACGTGCTGTGAGGAAAAGCTCCTCCTTCCCAAGGGCCCCTCTCCCTGTCCTATCTGTGTCCCCCACAGCCCCCTGTCCCCCAGGGGGAGCCTTAGAAGCAGCCCACGGTAGCACATTGCTAGATGGCTGGGTCTGTAGGTGGCAAGACCCCTGCAAAGTCAAGCCTTCTAAACACTGTTGTAGTTTGGGGGTAGCATGGCCCTTTCCCAGAAGGTGCCCTTTAGAGGATTCTTGGGCCTAGACGGAGCTGACCAACACAGCCTGGAAGAGGCACTTAGCGGGGCCCGTTAGAAGGAACTCTAGGCTCCGCCCGCCCTCCGGGAAGTAGTTTTAAACTCCAAGACCCACGGTCATGGAGTTGGTTCCAACTCACAGGGACTCCAATAGAAGGGTGATAATCCCAGCTTCACGTCAGGAAGGTGCAGTCAAGCCGGGACTCCTCTGCCGTCCTTCCTGCGGGAGCCCACCCTCTCCAGGAGCCACGCCTGTCTCCCCCTGCAGTGCAGTCTCTTCCCTCCTCCCCCATCCCTCCCCCAAACACACGCATGCACACACACACTGCAAGCAGCAAGAGGACAGGAGGAGCTTTGGAAAGGTCATCAGCTTGACGCTCCTGTCACCCTGGGCAGCTAGGGGATGCTACTTCCAGAAGGGAACGCCCAGGGAGCTTGGTCACGTGGTGGGAGTCGGGTCATGGTCCATGGCTGCCTGTAGACTCCTGAGCCCTCAGCTCTACATGCCTGGGTCGCTCAAGCTCCGAATGGAAGCCCCTATTCCAGTGGGGAAGCTTGGACTCTGCCCTGTTGGCCTCGGGCGGGGCAATTCATGTCCCCAAGTGGCCCACTGCTAGAAACTGTATGGAGGACACCAGCCTGCTCCTCCTGTCCCCGTCACCATTGCAATGGATTTCACAGCACCCCAGCTCATCTCTCATCGCTGGGAGTAGCAGTAGGAAGTACTTTTAAATAAAGCTCTAACTTCTTGAAGTTGCTTCGCAGAAAGCATTCACATGCCAAAGTGGAGCGTGGAGTGCAGTGTTCAGGTTTAGAACTAATCAAGGACATTGGATTTATAAAAACACCAAAATGCGCTCAGTCACCACACCGTTTGGCGTGACCGACACTTCAGCTCCGAAGCAGAGTGCACACTCCCGCCCCGAGAGCGGTCCACGTCAGCGGGGGCACTCCCTGTCCTAGAAGGTCCCCCTGCTCTGCAGGCTAGGCCTGAGTGAGCCCTGCACCCCGCGCCCCTAGAGGACACAGGGCCTCTGCAGTGGTTAGGGAAACAGGCCAGTGTGGGGCAAAGTCAGCTCCCCCACCCCCACTGTACGGATTCCTTACAGAAAACCCTCTGTGTGCACCCCTTTGGCATATACCCCTTTGGTGGATGGTCTATCATTAGACAGTGTAACTAAAATGACAGAAAAGCAGACATTTCCTCCCCCCTAGAAGAGAACAAAAATAGATAATTCAAATGCTCTTTGGTAAGCCTTGGACTAGAGGCTCACAGCATGCTTCAAACCCACCAGCCACTCCAAGGGAGAAAGATGAGGCTGTCTGCACCCATAAAGATTTACAACCTTATCCCGGCGCACAATGGGTTGGAATCGACTCCGTGGCAGCGGGTTTGGTTGGGGGTCTCCAACTGCCATATAGTCAATGCTGACTCATAGTGACCCCCTGTGGGTTTCTGAACGGGTAACTGTGTATGGGAGGAGAACGCCCCATCTTTCTCTCACGGAGCTGCTGGTGGTTTCGAACTGCTGACCATAAAGAGCACAGCCCAGCACATAACCACGACACCACCAGAGCTCCATGGGAGTAGAAAGCCCTGTCTTTCTCCCGCAGAGCACCAGGGGGCTCAAACTACGGACCTTGTGCGACACAGCCCAGTGCGTAGCCACCACACCCCGAGACTCCTCTGGGTTGGGGTTACAGGAGAACAGAAAGTCCTGGTGGGGCAGTTGGCTAAGTTGGGGCTGCTAACCCCAAAGTCGATGGTTGGAAACCCCCAGCCGCCCCGAGGGAGAGAGCTGTCTGCTTCTGTACAGAATGACAGCCTCAGAAAGTCTGAGGGGTAGTTTCCTCCGCCTTACAGGGTCGCTGTGAGTCGGAATTGAGCCCGGCGCCGCGAGGGGGCCCAGGCCTCACCCGCTCCTGCTCTTGCTCCCTCTGCTGGCGGGGCACCTTCACTGCAGCCACAGTGCTTCCTGCTTTCTGTCTTCCAGTTCACTGTCTGCTGTCTTCTTGGTTCCAGTCCACACCCAGGAACTGGTTAGATCAGCAGAATGGGGCTGTTAGCCCCAACCCATCCTCCCCTGCCGTGTCTGTCTGGCCCCTTCCCGTGTGCCCCTGGACTGCCTCTTTACGATTCTGGAAGACCTTTCTTCTGGTCCCTTGCGCTCAGCAGGTTCTCTGTTGTTATGGGCAGGGCCTCTGTGCCCAGCCTGGACATCAGGAAGCCTGCACGAGGGACTCTGAAAGACCTGCTGGGTCCTGTGTACCCGTTAGCAACTGCTGCCGTCAGAGGCCCTGCCCCCTCTGCAGCGGCAGGGCCTCCTGGACACAGGACCTCTCCACACACACACACACACACCCGCCCCCGCGCCTCCAGCCTCCTCTAGGCCCCTGTGCACACCCCTAGCTCCAGCTCATCCTGTCTCTCTTGGACTTCATCAGTCTCCCTTAAGCCATGCTCCGTCCCTATCCACCTCGAAGGGGCTGGAGAACCACAGCACCGACCACGCGATAGACACGCAGCTTAACCCAAACTCGCCTCTTCCCCGAGAAGCCCCACACTCCTGAGTCCAGGGCTTCTGAAAATTGACCCCCTTCTTTTCTCTCCACCCTAATATTAAGGTGACCAGATTTTAACATTGGTAAAGCAGGACAAAAGCGGGACACCATTGATAAAACTCTTATCCTGGTGAAACAGCCACATAGCAGCCGAAAACCGTATACCCTTGCTTGTCGTGCATTCTTTCCGAAAATCGGGACTTTTTTAAAACGCTGCGGGACACGGGAAAAATTGTTCAAAATTGGGACTGTCCCGCCAAAATCGGGACGTCTGGTCACCTTACCTAAAATCCACACCTTAGGACGCAGCCTCTTTGGTATTTCCTGCAGTACACCCGCCCGTGACCTCTGACCCAGCAGTGCTTTATCCCTGCCCTCATCACCCCCTAAGCCAATGTGTCACCATGCCCTGGCACTGACCAGAATGACCGCCTCCTTTGTCTTCCCAGAGCCCAGCTCACCTGTCCTTGCTGCAGCCCCCCAAACAGAACAAACCTCTGTGAAAACATTGAAACCCCATGGTGTCACGGCACTTGCTCCCATGGTGCGGGGAGAGCTCCCAGGGTCCAGCCCCTCCGGCCTGCTGAGGAGGCAGTGTGAGCGTGCTGGTCCCCCAAGTAGCTGCAGATGCCCATCGGCATCACGACTCGGATCTCTATCCTTGCCAAGGCAACCCACCCAATCGCTTGGTCCCTAGCCCGCCAGTTCTCTCCCAGGACACTTGGCTGTCTTGTAACCCTGAGTGGACGCTGGCTCCCCCATATCCCTCAGTGCCAGCATGGGGGTCTTGGCTTTTGTCCCCCCATTGAGCCTTGGAAACTGACTGCACCCCAATCCAGCCTGTCTCCTCAAGTCTGCATCGGCCTGTCCTCTCTCAGGGTGCTCAGTATCCTGCAACTGTAGGCAGAGGGTGGGAGGGGTGGGGATGGGAACAGACCAGGCTGGAAAGGCACCCAGACGTTGGCAGTGGTGTTGTGCACCCTCCTAGAGCCGACACTCTTCCCTACATGCACCTAACCACATCTGTTCATGCTTCTCAGTTTACAACGTCCTCTCTCCCACCCAACAACCCCGTGAAGGATAAGGATCAGCCTCGCCCTCCTTTCTCTGACAGGGGAACTGGCGCCCAGAGGTTACGTGGCTTGTCCAGGGCTCGCGGTGGGCAGAAGGCACCGCCGGAACTCGCAGGGAGGCCCCTGGCTCCAACGGCCATGCTCTTTCCTCAGCACCACAGCTGCTTTCCGAAGCCCCTGGATGCATCCAGCGAGCCAGGGGGAGGAGGTTTTGTCCCATATTCCAGAGGTGAACAATCTCACAGAAGCGGAGTCATTGTCCAGTGGGTATCTGAGTCCCCAGACTTAACTCGAGACCACCTACATGCTCTCACCCCGCCGAGCACCCCAGAACTCTCCAGACCCCTAGCCACACAGAAGAGGGTGATGGGTCTTCTTAAATCACCCGGTCTTTGGGAACTTGAGATGCAATAAGGGAAAGCAGGAACCTGTTTTGTAGGCTCGTGCACTGAGAGCCATACCATTCTCTGGCCGACTGACTGCTGGCTTCCTGAGACATGCAAAGCAATGCCGGGCAAAGGTGGGTGTCGTCAGGACACGTGAAGCCGAGAGGGCCAACTCTCCCCGCCCCCACCTCCACCCCCTTCATGCCCACAATCACAGCCTGACAAATGGTGCCTGCTGCTCCCTGGACCCTGGGAGCGTGCCTTGCGATTGGCAGACAGGACTCCAAAATATCTTAATTTTCCCCCCTCCATTTCTTGATCAATGCCCTATCCTCCTTGGTCCTCTCATTGAGAATTGGGCTTGAAAATGGACATTTCAACACCATCCCCTGGAGCTCAGCTGTCAGGGAGCTCGCCTTCCCAGTGGCTGAGGGAGCTGCCCCTCTCTCCTCCAGGAGGCAGATGAGCCCCCAAATCCACCTCGCCTTGATTGACATTTTTGCCAGTCTCCTATTTGGTTTGATGAAGGTGGGAGAAATTTCCCCAGATGGCATATGAATTTCTTCCTCATGAAATAAGTCTCAATTTTCTTTCTTCGTCTTTTTTTTTTTTGCCTGTTCCTAAAGACAAAGGAGCTGGCAGAACAGTCAACACGTCCGATTACCTCCAGGTGCGGTCGCCCGAAGCCCTGATTCTGCTACAACGGGACGCACCAAGCAGCAAGCATGACACGCACACGCATGACATGCACACACAAGCATCACACCCCCACCCCACCCCCGAGCTTTGGCATAAAATGACCAAAGCACTGCTCCCCCACCCCGCGCCCCTTATTCTGGCAATTTGCTTCTGAGTCTTGTATAGAGAGCAGGGTAAAATATGCTCTTTGCAGCCTGAGAGTAACAGAACACACGCACCAAGTGGCCCCTGGGAAACATTTCCCCCAACGAAAAGTCAATGTTTGCTAAGAGCTCCACCAGGACCGTTCTCCTGGGCCACAGAGGCACTGTCTGCCCCTGCCCAGGGCTCCCCGGCTTGGATCAGGCCTTGGGGGGGCGGGGGGAATCCCAACGTGGCGCAGGCCACTGGGGGACGGGGCTTTGGAGCCAGACTGGGCTCTGGATCTGCTGTTTCTCAGCTAAGGGCCCCGGTCCTCTGGCCACAAGGTGAAGATGATAATGTATGTATGGAAGGGCCTGACATGGGAGTTGGCACCTGTCTTAATAAAGGTCTGTGGAGAAAAAGAACCGGCTCCGTGCTGAAACCAGGTGGTTGTGGCTGTCGGCTTGTCCGGTGGGAGGTCCCGCGCTGAGGCCGCCTCCCACTGCAGGAGGCTCTGCCGCTGCGCTCGGCCTCTCCAAGCCTTACAACTCTTTGTTACATTTTCATGGCGCATAAAGTCAAGGCTCTGTTACTTGGCCTCAGTTGTCTTGGTAACTTCGTAAAGAACAATAATAAAAGGAAGCTTTGCCTGCGCACTTCTAAACCCGAGCTCTTACAAATGGCTGCCATGTATTGACGATTTCTTCTGCCCGATCACGCCTGACAGCAACTCCACCCGGGTGGACAAGGCTGGCTCATTCGGGGTCAATTGGTGAGGAAAATGGTGCCTTTTCGTTTGTTTTTTGTCCTCCGGTAACAGTTAACACTTGCCTGGGAAAGCTAATTATTGCCTGGAGCCAGCTGGGGGCTTTTGGGGAGGTGGAGGTGGGCAGGGGCAAGGGGCAGGAGTTTGGAAAATCCTCCAACACTTTATCTTCTGGAACCAATCCCTGGCGTTTTGCCACTTGCCAGGGGCTCTGTGGCAGCAATTCCAGCAAGAAGCGAGGGCGGTGACAATCCCTGTGCTTGGCCATCTGAGCAGGATGTGTGTGGGGGTTTCCCGGCCCAGGGTAGCTGGGGGCAAGGGCCTCCTAGGTGAACGGAACTGCTCAGCTGCACCCAAGAGCGCATTGCAGGAGGAAGGACCGGTGCTCCTGGGGACTCCACCTCTGGGAACAATGGCCCTGTCTTCCACCCTCCTAGTGTCACCTCCCTTGGGGAGCCCTGGTGTCACAGTGTCGGGCTGCTAACCTAAAAGTCAGCAGTTCGAATCCCCCAGCCACCCCATGAGAGAAAGACGAGGCAATGTGCCTCCCTACAGAGTGGCCCTCTCAGCGACCCCGGGCAGCACTCCGCCCTGTAGGGAGGGCCCTAGGAGTCAGAATCAATCGGAAGGCAGCGGGTTTGAGTTTGCAGCACCACCATTCACCTTGACCTTTTGGGAACAGCATACTTGTCTACTCTGGATACGTCTTAGGCTGGGGGCCACCAGGTGGGGAATGGAAAA